GCTCGGTTAGGACACTTAGAAACAATGTTACAAAAACCCTTACAGTTGAAGCATTGTAAACGAGAGGACGTTCTTGAAACCTTAGAACCTCTACCTTTACTATTCGATGTAGGGGTAGTATTAGAAGGAGGAGGTCCTAAAATAGATTTAGGGGATGGAGTGGATGCAGAAGAGGTTGCAGTGCGGGAGTCACTACGACTTCTATACGGTGTCCTAGTCATTAACTCGTAATCCCAAACGAAAGAGTAGGCATGGTCAAGAGTGGTGACACCTCTAAGAACAAGCTCACGTCTAAGATCATCCCGTAGGCCTTGCCTAAACCTACTCAAAGTCATGACTTCATTCTCAAGGACCTGACATCTCATTCGAAACTCGTCAAACTGAGCAACATATTCGGTTACAGGTCGACTTCCTTGCATAAGTGCGTTCCATTGATCCAGCAAGTTGCCCCTGTAAGATTGAGGTAAATATTTTTCTTCAAGGCGACGCTTCATTTCATCCCAGTTCTCAACAGGGGGAGCATGGCGCCTCTCTAGGAGGTCCTCAACACTTTCCCAAAACAGTTGAGCTGTGCCAGTTAATTTCAAACTGGCAAATTGTACCCTCCGATCTTCAGGGGCCCCATACCAGGCAAAGAAGCCATCCATATCTCTAACCCATTGATTGAATACACTAGGATCTAGACAACCATCAAATGTAGGGGCATCTAACTTAATATTTCGAAAGAGGCGCTCCTCATGGCGAGGGGGAGATAGTGTACCATGACGGTGATATTCCCGTTCGCGTCCACGAGCTTGATTTCCTTCCCTACGATCATGTCTAGCATGGTATCAACCACCTTGAGGACGACGATGTGGTCTATTAATGGAAGCGTCAGAATTTTCAGCCTCAGTTGAGGATTGGGTTGGGTCAAAAGAGTTTACCCTAGCGGTTAGGGCTCTATTCTCCTCACGAGTAGCGGCTAACTCAGTTTGGACAGCCGTTAATTGATTTTGTAATTGTGCCAACTGTCGGGTGATAGCTTCAATGTGGGAAGGGTCCATGACAAGGGTACTAGAGCTAGAGGCAGTAACGCGACCATTACGCAATTGCATACACGGTAACACAAACTAGGTGAAGTGCCTACTGAGATTAACAACCAACGAGTGCCAGTAGGGAAAATAGTGACCGAAATTTATCTATTGTTATTATTGTTATTTTATTTTATTGTAGGGATTACGTATGGCCGGATCGCAAGTTAATACTACTAATGCCAATAAAATAAAAAATCAAAGGTACGAATGCTAGGTCTAGTCACGTGGGGTAAATGAGTGAACAATGGGTCGGTTCGTGAATTTTAATCCAATAGATTTAAGGCTAAAATTATCAAAATAGTAGCAACACAAAGAATTAATTGATGCAATTCTAAAATACAGTAATAGTGTCACTAAAAATAGATAAAAGCAGAGGCTCCCTGAGTTTAGTTGGCCTGAGTCGTCCTAGCGTCGAATGCCTCCACTTTCTGATCTGTTAAGCACTGAGATGCCAAGATAGAAAATTCCATGTTCGTCGAGGAAATAATGTACCTATAAAAGAATGTCATGAAATTCTCAAAATTTAAGATTTTTTATTTTTTATTTTTACTCTTCCTTTTTTTACGTTTTTATTTTTTATTTTTTAAATCATACAAAATTAGAACAACAAAATAATAAATGAGCTCATTTCACAAATTTGGGCCTAAACTACACTCAAAATCTCAATCAAGCCCAGACCCAAGCAATGACTAATAAATCCAACCCAATTGAAGTCAAGTCCAAACCCAAGTAATACAAATAAACAAGCCCGATTGAAATTAAGCCCAAACCCAATTGATAACCAATAAACCAACCTGATCAACTAATAACCCAATCAAGCCCAAACCAATAACTCATAAACCAACCCAAGTGAAAGCTGTGGAAGTCGGCGTCTGGGAGCTGGCCGACGAGGAGCGTCTCAACGATGTGGGGCGCCGGCTTACTAGTAGAAGTCCGAATCCGTAGTCAGAGAGATGGTTCCGTTTTTGGTTTTGGATGAAGGTAATATGTTGGTCGACTGCGGGTGTGGGTGTCGCGTTACGATATTATTGTTTTCGGCAGTTGGGCTTGGACGGCCATTACTGGAACAGCCGGCAGTTGATTGCAATTTCAGTGCGTGAGTTGGGGAGGTGATGGTCACAGGTGTAATTGTCGTGCAGCAGACGTTTTGAGTTTGAAGAGGCAGCGAGAGTAATTGTTGATTTGGGGTCGGAATTTGTAATTTGGGCGGAAGGTTGTGGCCTTGACGGTTGGTGGTAGTTTCTGGTGATGATGGTTTTGGATTTTGCAGTAGCCGTGACGAATTGTAGCAGATGGTTGCTGGGGATTTGGTCAGTGTATAGGTAATAGGTGAAGACGACAACAGGGGTGGACTGTATATTTGATTAGGTTTTCAGTATATGCTCCAGTAAGCAATTTTAAGCAGCACCTTAACGAAAGAAACCAGGTTTTAGCTCTGATACCAATTTGATGTAGAACGAATAACAAAGAAAGAAAGAAGAAGGAGAAGGGAGGAGAAGAGAAGGGGAAATCGAGAGGAGAACACAGAGAGAGGGAAGAAGGAAGGAAAAACGGGGCTACAGCCACTTTATTATTCAATCAATTCATCAACTGAAAAATAACAATGTAAAATAGGTTAAATACTGAAAATATTGCAAACGTAGGGCCAAGCCCAATACACAAGTCCATAAAAATAAAATAACCAAAGTCCAACTAAAATAATTAAAACTGGGATGTCCTCATCAATGTCCCAGTCAACTACTATTCGCAGAAACTTTTCTCAATCTTAGCTGTTAAAAATAGCGAAATGTATATTAGCAAGTTTTCTCAAACCCTGCTTTCTATTTGTAAATTTTAGATATCATTACTTCTTTCGAATTGGTGGATTGACTAGTGAAGGATGATATTACTCTCTGATAACAACTTCTCATTCACCTGGCCTGCTGACACCCCCCGCACCCTTTTCTGGGTATATGGATTTGTACCTTACTTGCATTACTATGCTATGGTTTATTTGGCTCATGAAAAATTTGCACAATTCAAGAAATTTGGATTCCTTATCAAATCTGAAATCCCTGGGAGAGGTTTATTCTTTTGAGGCTTCACAAAATAGTTTAAAGCTAATGGTGATTGCTTCTTTTCTAAGGCTTTCTCTCTCTTGCTATGTGTGCGTGTGTGAGCATATCTTTGTATCTCATTGGGGCACAGCATAAATTATTATGTCACTTTGATGCTAGGGGACCAAAAGAAATAAATAAATAGTTTTTTTTTTTTTTTTTTTTTTTTAAATAAAAAATCCTACCGTGCCTAGGTGAGGGGTTTGGCATTTACCTACTTCGTCTATTGATCAAAAAATTAGTACAAGGAGGCGGACATGCCAACCTTACTTCCTGAAGTACAAATGAGAGGAGAGAGAATTTTGCAGAAAATCAAAATATGGGAGATCTACTCCCATTACATAAGATCATTACAGGAAATATGAACTTGGAAGTAGTACTTCTACTATGGAAGATCAGTCTATTAGAAGGTTGGACTGGCTCAAGAGGACTCTTAACAGCATAGACCACAATAAAAGGCACACGACAGGCACGAAGCAAAATCCCTTAACAACAAGCTATACATGCTATCTAGAAAATGCAACACTTAAATTTTACACTAGGCTGGCTATATATATGCACTATACATACACTTATATTTGCATTTGCATATACTAAATGATAATGCAACACATAAAATTTTTATACAAGGCTAGCTATAGTTATGAACTATATGTACACTTACATTATATATAAATTAAATTTAGTTATAAGCATGTTCATTATCTATGCTAGATGTGTAGGCTACCTATCATTCTTTATACAGCAAAGCAGTATATTAGCTCAAACCTAGAGTACACACACCAAAGCACACATAGAATGCCATCAGGCATTACCTTGAACCAAATCCAGCAATCATTTACCGCATTGCCAATCTTAAATGCCATCGGAATATGGACTCTCGCTCTTTATTGTAAAGCACATCTCGCTAGTTTTTTCCTCCATGCGCAAGGAAGGTATTTCCATGACATCTTCCAAATCCTTACAGTACATGAATCCTTCATTAGCCATTCAGACTGCAGCTGCAATACCTCTCTGCTAATATAAGTGACAGTTTCTCCAATTTTCTTGCGAATCTGTAAATCTCTTCAAGTAAATACAGAACATCCCATGACCCATCAGCTTCTGCTTTTTATTATTATTATTATTATTATTTTATTTTTAACAAGGTTATTCACAGTTAGGGAGTCTAATTCCACCAATAGATATTGAAAGTTATGCTATCCACATATTTGTAATCCTTGATTCACTGCCCTAACCTCAGCAAAAGAACTGTTGAACGTCACACAATATTCATGAAATGCAATTATGCAAGCATCATTTACTGTTATGGTCTCTATTTAGCCTTCCACCCCCTCCCTCTCCAGAGTTAGACTCTTTACTAATACAAAATTTAAATGCAGTTTTAGGAATAACTAAGAAACATAGACATGAAGACATACTTGACTTCGCACACAAACTCGAAAATTATCTGAAATAATGGTAGTATACAACATACTTGGAACATGTTGAGTAAGGAGTTATATTGTTGTAAGACGTCCAATATGACTTGTTCTTTTTGAAATTGGAAAGTCTTGTTGAAGAGTTGACACGATGAGAGGACAGTTGCAATCAAACTATGGTTCTTGGAACAGTGAGAGTAAGTATAGTTACAGTCGAACTATGATAAAGATCATCTGACATATACAAGGCCTAAAATTTTTACCAGATTGTTCCTTATCATGTTGTTATGTATCTATAAATGGTCTCTGATGTATCTAATTATGAGATTATATGCAAGCCTGGTTTGATTGTGAAAGAAAAATGGTAATCGTCAACCATATTTTGGATATTTGTTTTCTTGCATTTGTAGGTGATGGCATTTGATGAGACGCCTTGATCTTCTCTCTCCCCAGCCTTTTACTTGTGGGTGAAAAAACAACAAACAGCAAGAGAAATAACAAATCGGAATCTGGAAGTTTAAAGTCACTGTGAATACTCCATGTTAAAAGTGCCTTGTATAGTGATATTGTCCAGCATAACCATGTCTGAATACGTTTTATTTTTTCTTTCCAACTGCTTTCTTTTTGTGTAATTATTGTATATCTTACAAGGAAAGAGTTTTTAGCCCAAGTTTAACCAGCTGGATGGTTACATCCATTGTATTGACAACTTATTTTGCGAACTGTAAAAAATTGTACTAAATTAGCTTGTGATGAGGTGGGAAATTGTAGTTATATATCTTTCATATCTAGGTAAAAATCACTGTTGTCATAAGCAAGTTTTATTTTAGCTAAGCACTTCCCTTCTCTAACTTGATACTCTCAACTTTTATTTATTTATTTTTTGGTTAAATCACCAAGGTGACTTCTTCTTCTTCTTCCTTTTTTTTTTTTTTTTTTTTTTTTTA